TTTTGTGAGACCTGGTCACCGGAATCATGCAAAGTGTTGTACAAACTGTGGATGCACTGAGGTGAAGATACTTACAGTCCACAGTTGTGAGATTCTTGGAAGATACCCATCTACAGCAGAAGCAAGCAGATGATTTGCTGGGGAGAACCACTGGCTGTGCTGCAAATTGAGGGCACGGTGGGAAGCACAGGTAGCAGCAGTGCTCAGGAGCAGGCTGGCTCAGCTCAAGATGTCCATAGCTGATGGCCATGCCAGGATGGTGACCCAGCAAGCAGGTGCTTCCTGACATAATGGCAACAGAGATGTGTTCTGCTTTGCTGCCACTTCCCAGTACTGGCTTGTAAGAACCCATTCTCCCTCCCTCCCTCCCTCCCTCCCTCCCTCTGTATTGCCCTTCAGTGGTAGCTGTGATTCTCACCAGAGAATTCCCTCAATGACCTCCAATTTGTATGATGCCACTTGGCATAAATTCCGGAATAATAATTTCTGTACCAGCAAAAAATCCATGTATTTTCAGCAAGAATAGCTTAAATATATGTATGGCTTATTTACTTGATAGCTTGGATAGAGCACCAAGAGGAATCATTCCTGTTTAACAAAAGTGCCATGTAGTATGTCTTATCACTTCCCTGCCTCCCTTTCTTCATGCTATATCTATCTCAAATACTTCAGGAAATCACTCCTGTTATACATTCTCACTACATTTATTTGAAGGAGAAAATGACAAGATACTTATAGGATAATAAGTGATTGGGTTATGGCCTTGGAAGATCAAAAGCTATGTCTTCCATTTACCACGGTAAAACTGCTTAATTTATGATGTTCTCCAGCCAGTTACAAGCATTAGATTGACTTTGCCATGCATTTCCCTGATTTATGATGCTGTGGACACATTTTCATTCCTAACCTTGGGGTCATATTCTGCCATCACTTTCACACGGCATATTTCAGAATTTACAATCAGATGAATAACAAGTCTGTGCCATGAAATTTGCATCTAATTAGCATTCTATTCATTTCAGAGGGTAAATTTGCTTACCAGAGTGGTAAGTGATGTACAGAAGTGCACACAGCAAAATCAAAAGAGAACATTCTACCTTCTGGACTTGCTGCCACAGACACAAATATGCGTACATATTTCTTAAAATGTGTACCTCTGTCTGTGACTTTCCAAACAGGCATTCTTGCAGCCTTTTATGCATATTAAGTTACATTTTTGAGAAAAAGCAGAATGGGATCTGTGGAGAAGGAAGGCCCACAGTTGAGTGCTGAAGCAAAGGCTTCAGCTTAAATCCTCCAAATCTCCAATCAGAGAATCTCTCAGCTAGCAGGGCCAGGAACAGAACTGCATGACTCCCCGGAGAGCTTCTGCTACACAGAATAAACAACCATCAGCTACTAACTCTTAGCAAAGGGCAAATACATGGGTAAAGCAGTATATGTTAAAGCAATAATTGTAGTGAAAGGTGAAAACACATCCCTGTTGTAAGCTGTCCTGAGATGTTTGACATAAAGGACAGCATATGAAAGTTTTTAAATAAATAAATAAATAATAAATCCCTGTCATATTAAAGCTCAGCCCGTTAACTGAAGTCATTGGAAGCATAACAGACTTGTATCCATCATCCAACCCCTGTGTCTGTTGTGGCTTTCCCTGTTGAAATGCAGCCTGCTTCAGCAGGAGTTCTTTCCTGTTTAAAGAACGCTGCCTGTGATGGGGGCGAGTGTCATTTCAGAGGGATTAGGGAGGGGAATCGTGCAGCCTGGAGAAAGTAAGAAGAGCTGCTATCAGCATCACTGCAGTGAATTCCCCTCGTCACCCGGAACTGGTGGAACCATTTTGTGGTTCTGGAACCACATACCCCTGACAGGCAAAATCAGCATTTGCAAGCAACCATGCCAAACTTGATTCCAAACTTCGCGGGAAATGACCAAATATCTCTCTATAATATACAAAGGTTTTCATTGCAATCTCTGTTAACTCTTCCCTACTTCTTTCTTTCATGGGATGGAAGGAAGGCCACCAAAGATCCCTAGAGAAATAAAAATAATCTTTTGGGGTTGGTCTTAGCTTTGTTTGCACTGAGGTCAGGGTCCAAACAATACGTATAAGTGGTAAGACAGTGCAGAAAAAGGTACTACCCCCACCTCAAAAAATACTCAAATGATGCTTCTAATTAATCTCTCTATACTGAATTGAACTAATGGGGAATTTCACTCCTAACTAGTTATGAAACCTGGGGGATAAATGTCTAAAATGTAAAAGTTACTGGTCCAAGTAGGAAGATTGATGGCCACGTAGAACTTTTAGCATCCACACAAAGTATTTCACACTCACTGTGTACAAACCTCCATTGGGTAGATAGGCATCATTTCTCCCTTGCCCTGACAAAGTGAAGTTTAAGGTAATTATTCAGTGAAGGTCATCCATAACCGAAATAGAATATGGAAGACAAGCTTGAATTTTTAGTATTTGAAGGGGTCACATAAGGACTAGCAGTGCTTTGTATTTAGTGGGAAATTGACAGCAAAGGTGGGAGAAGAGATGCAACAGATCTTTACTTATGCCAGAGATCTTTGGCTGTTGAGCAGTAAAGAAATCAATCAATCAATCAATCAATCAAACAAACAAAAATCTAATTTCTTGGCTCATATAAACAATACTGTAGCTTGATTTCAAACAAACATTCAAATCCTGTACGTGCACCATCTTTATGTAACGTGATCCGTTCTCTAAAATCATCTTCCACAAGCATGTAAACTGCCATGAGCTGAATGCAAACTACACGTCAAAAGCCTGGAATATTCTACCCCTTGGAATAGGTGGTAGCATGGACCACAACACACCAGCTCCTACCATGACTTAGGGTGACCCCTGGTGGCAGATTCAGGTGGGGGGAGGTCATACTACCTAGGGAACCTTATGGGGCTAATGGGGTGGGATAAAAACCAAATAAATAAATAAATGTTCGTGTTATAGAGAGGAGGCCAGCCTTTCCAGGTTGCCATCATCCCAATTAGCTCGTCCAGATTCGAAATGGGAGGTGGATGAACAGGAATTCACAGAGGTCTCTCAACCATTGAGTTCACCATGCAAGATTGCTCAGCCAGAGTGTGGGAACCAAACTGCTTCCAGGGAGGTGTAGAGACTGAGGTGGTGGTGGTGTGTGTGTGTGTGTGTGTGTGGGGGGGTTCTTTGACCTATCAAGAGGCATCTGGTCAAGAAAATGGACCAATTAAATATTGTCAACTGCTGTGGTTGTCCAGCCTTCAAGCAGTGTAAGCCACCCTGAAGGTGGAGTCAGGTTCTTTCCAAAAAGGAGAGAAGGAGGGGAATGTTCTAATTTGGAGTCAGTTCTTCACATGGTCAGAACTAGTATCACATAGTGAATAGGTTGTTTTATGCAAATAGGTTGTTTTAAATAGTTATGCTGTATATTTATGATAAGTCTGCTGGACTTTATAACTTGATTAATTCTATGTCTACTGGACAGAGGAAAAAAGGGCAGAGACATGATCCCAACCCACCAGCCAGACACAAAGTACTTCTGCTTTTGCTTTTATAGAAAAGTGGCCAGTGGTGCTCCTGAGAACCCTTATTTGATGCCTGTCAGGTGGGGAAGGGTGCCTTCGTGGCAAATACTGCTTACATTTCATCTCCTGGCACCTCCTCTCAACAACATGTTCATCTATTTCATTGCCATGCTCAGGTCAAACCGCATGTAATTGTTTAGTACGCAGCTCTTGTCTCTACTTTTCCTTTATTCTAAAATAAGCAGGGAAGGCAGATTTGGATCGGGTCCACCATGTGTGGGAAGTGGTCTGAATTTTCTCCTGAATTTCTGTGCTCCCTCCCCCACCCCCCAGCTGTTTCATAAGGGAAAATAACACACATGCTCTGTACTTGCTTGGGCTGGGGAGGAAAGAGGAGAGGAGGAATTTTAGGAGAGAAGCAGCTATGAAGGGAGGATTAAACTTCCTCTTGCTGCATGCAGTGGTCTTAACACAGAACAGTCCCCCTGGATATAGTCCTCCAACTCCACCTCTGAATATCACCCACCATTGTTTTCAAGAATCTCTCTATTTTGCTCTTCCTTCAGTAATTCAACCTAATTGGTTAACAAGACACTCCAAAATTTGCTTGAAAATTAAGTGCTTTAAAACATCCAAATGTAAAACATTGTGAAAGTGTGTCTCAGAAACACAAGCTTTGGGATTAAATCTGCCAATTAAGGTACATCTATTTCCATGTCCCTGGCTATTCGGCTGTGCTGACTAACTGTATCATGCTTTTGTAGACTGCTCGCATTATCCCAACAGTGTCCATTTCTCTATGGCTACTTTTCCGTTAATATAAATTATCTCTTCCATCAAGACCCTGACACACTGGACTTTGTGACTGATCTGACGTGGTTAATGACTTCATGGAGGCAAAGGGAGCCAGCCAGACAGTCCCCCTCCCACAGTTCTGGCCCATTCCGCCCCGATTCCACATGTTAGGGGTATCTGTGCAGAAAAAGGATGCATGCGTGTATGCATGCTCTTGTTCTGATTTGAAACTCTCCTCAACATGCATCGTAGAACATGGGAAGAGCCTGGATGTTCTCAATCGCTTTTTATTTTGCAGACATGAACCTAACACATGGACAGTGGGGAACATGAGGAATGTGATGGTGGGGGTAGGATACACTCGCATTCAATTTTATCCCCTCCTTGCAAATTAGCTCATGAGCTTCTGCTGATTATCTTTATATTTCAGGTGGTAGTGGACAGTCTGAAACTGAAAGAATTGCAGTTTATCCATTCCTTATTGAGTTCATGGATGAGGGGAAACCTGAACTGCAGATTTTTCCCCCAGTCTTGAATTTATAGCTGCTGCTACACTTAGCATTCTCAGCATTTCATATTTTCATAGAGAAGATATTAAACAGAGCAGAGCGAGCAAAGCTACTCGCTTTAACATAAATAGCAAAAATGTCCCCTTTTTCTTGAAATATTACCTGGACCAGCACAAAGAACCTTTTCTTCCACCTCTTCCAGACATTTTTGCCAATGGCCCACAAATACCTATAAAAGAGGCAGAAGTCTTTTCATTAGGGTTTGTTTTTTTGAGGAAAGTGGGGAAAAAGGATAAGATCATGTTGAGCTTCAACTAATAATTCCAGCTATTGAACAGCAAGGTAAAGTTGTAACGATGTATAGAAGGTGGCTGCATGAGCCCATTTATGCATTTATTCCATTTCTAATCTGCCCAATAACTGACATTCTCTGAAAAGAGCTATTGCAGGAAAAGCACCCTTTTTTTAAAGTGGAGAGAAGTCAAAGTAACATTAGAGCTACAGGCACAGCTTAAATTGCATCTAGGCTTTCCAGTGATCTAATCTTGGTACCTACTTTGAGTTCCATAGTTTAAATAAGAACTTAAGCTATAAACATGCTGCTAATGACTAAGGGATGGATATGAACAAAACAGAAAATATCTTGACCGAGGAAAAACATTTTAAAATCCTATGTTCAGTGTGCATCTAGGCATGTGCATGCATAAATAATATTTTTTCTGTGGGGGGGAATGATCTTAGGTTCTGCTTTTCTGGTTAGCGCAGCATGAAATGTACTTGTGCTTCATTTCAAACATCCCTTGAAAACCGCACACATTCCTGGGAATATGTATGGACAGGAAATAGAAGTGTGAGAAGCATCCCTGAGAGTTTCACTACTGAATGCTGGCTGTGTGACCTAGGCCTCTTTGCCTGTGCAAGTAAGAGCATTGCTAGACTGCCAGAGAGCCTTAGCTCAGGCAGATGTAAGAGCGCTAACACTGAAGAAACCGCAGCTGAGAGCCCAGTTTAAATGAGATGCTGGGCACACACAACCCAGGGCTATTTTCCTTGCCTGCCTAGTGTCATGCTTAAGTCAAGCCCAAATCTATGCAGATAAAATTGACAGGCATTTGGCCTACATGTTGTTCATTTATGCATAACTTAGCAGAAACATACTAGGATGCATTATTTATGGCTTGATCAAAAGTCCTATGAAGTTAGTGGGAAAATTGTAAATGACTTCAGAGAGGTCTGGAGCACCAAATTTGTAAGAACAGGGCAGATGGCTTAATCATTTAAATGTACTGAAGACTTCAGAATCAACTGTGAGTCAAAAGGAAATGTGACAAAAAGCCAAAGCTAATTAGCTTCTAAGGAAATGAAATATCAGTGCTGAATGAAATTCTACAGAGGATAATCTAAAGTCTCAGATTGGTCAGCTACTTATTCCAGATGGTGTAAGAAAGATAGCCACCATTCATGGAAGCTGTCTTAGCCTGTTCCTAGGATTTGGGTTTCTATGACTGCCCCTGACAAAAGAGCTCTTATTTCTGAAATGTGTTGGATTGGATGCATTGGATACTTTTCACTTTCATTTCTGTGTTGGCCTTCTCTTCTGAACTTCTCTACATGCATTTAGTTTTCTTCCATTTTCACGGTAGGAGGAAAATGCTTTATTTACATGTGCTGTCACCCCACAAGGGTTTGCTTTTCTCTGCTTTCCTAGATCTATTAACCCACCACAAGATGGTGCTGTGCTGTGGTCTCTCTGTGGCGTATTTGCAACTTCTCACAAGGCTTTTGTTCTGGTTTGTTCTGGTGCAAGCTTAATACCAGAGTTCATTGCTCAAAAAACAAGCAAGCAAGCCCCAAGCAGAAATGACTGGAAAACACAGGTGAGGCCCTGGGGAACAGCAACTTCATGAAAAGGTCCCACAAATTACTGTGAGTGAGGTGTCATGACTGCACAACAAATATCTCAAGTAGAGGAATTTTATTTTGGTTTTTTTTTAAATCCAACTATATTTCTAAAAAATTAATGTCATAGCTTTCTTGACTCAACAGGTTAGATTTTGGACAACAGCCAAAAGGTATATAGCATGGAGCCATGATTTTGGCATGCTTCCTTTGTTCCTAGATGCTGAGCAGTAAGTATTCATAGACAGTAAGTGAAAAAATCTTCCTGCAAGAGGTAATTTAATTCACAAGACAGCAATATGGAATTGGAACCCAGTTCAAACTTCTCATGCATTTACTAGATGTATTTGGATTCTTTCTTCAAGACCTACTTCCATTTCACAGATGTTACCAGATCTGAAATATGACCTAATGAAAATACTGTATCACCAAACAGTATTCTAAGGACATAAATTACTGTCTATTGAATTACTTCCAACCTGTACTCCTAGTGGGACTTTCCTTAGATGATTCCTTTTGCAAAACAGATTTAGTGTAAATAATACTTGTTTCTATTAATGTTCTTATTATGCAGCAAGAAGATCGATTTTCTGAGAATTCATTAAAAAAATCACACACTGATGAGTATAAAACAAATGGGTTAATTCCCTGTAAATTCTGAAAACATAGAGTGCTGGAACTAAAAGTGTTAGGGTGGCTTTCACATGCCATTTAGTTTAAAATAGTAAAAAAGGTGTGTGTGTGTGTGTGTGTGTGTGTGTGTGTGTGTGTGTGTAAATCAATTATCTTTTAAAGGAAAAGCATAATGTGTTGCTTAATTTTTAAATCTTAGATAAAGCCAGGAAGAAATAGGCAAAGCTTCACATTTGTTATCCTTTATAATACCTGTGGAAAAATGAAATATGCTCACATGCAACCACAGTAGCCCATGCAAAATTGCTTACCCTGAATGCTTCATGTTTTGAGGTTTATCCATTCGGACAGCAAGTTTGATTTTTAGATCCTGATCAGGGCAGTTTTTGGAAACAGCCATTTTGTGCCACTCTGATTGTTTTGGACTGTTTGGTGTAGGATGAAGAACAACCTGAATGAGACAAAGACCAACTTTAGCACACTGAGATCTAGAAGGAACCTAAGAGCAATGAGATTTGCAGTGGGATCCTACACATTCTACTCAGAAGAAGAAAGTCATAGGTAAGTCTGTATAGGAATACAGGCTTAAAGAGAAATAAAATTTGATTTTCACTTTTGCAATGTTGTTGTACCAAGGCAGTAAAAAAATAAAATAAAATAAAATACAAGAGAAAACTGTGGAGCTTTCAAATGAATGGCTTCTGCATAGCAAGCAAAAGGCACTGTGCAGCTATTCCAACTGCACTAGTCTAGTCTGACCTCTGGCTCCAGCCGGCTCCACTCACGACATGCCCACCATGTGCTTGAACACCCTCCTTGAACACCCTCACCAATGGGGCCTCAACCACCTCCCATAGAAGGCCATTGTATTTTTGTATTTAATGGTAATTTATTATGTTCTATTGTATTTCAATGTATTTTATTGTGTTGTAAGCCGCCCCGAGGCTTCGGCAAGGGGCGGCATAGAAATGTTAATAATAATAATAATAATAATAATAATGATAATAATAATTCCATACACTCAGGGTCCTAACTGTCAGGAAGTACTTCCTGGCATCTAAATTGAACCTTGTTCCCTGAGCTTTGCTCCATTGGAGCACGTCCTGCCCTCCTCTGCATGGGAGAATCACACCTCCGTGTGACACTCCCTCACATACCTGTATGTCACCAACAGATCTCCTCTGAGTCTCCTCCAGGCTGAAGAGACCCAGTTCCCTCAGTCTCGCCTAATATGGCTTTCCCTGCAAACCGGCCACCAACCTGACGCTGCACTGACTCTAACCTGGCTATATCCTTTCTGTAATGAGGGGCCCAAAACAATACTCCAGTTGCGGGCGCACCAGGGTCGTATACAGCAGTAGTAATACCTCTCTTGATTTAGAAGCCACACTTCTGGCTATGCAACCAAGGCTGGCGTTTGCCCTCTTGACCACTGCATCACACTGCTGACTCATGTTTAGCCTGCAGTCAACCAGCACCCCGAGGTCCCTTTCACAAGTGCTGCTCTCCAGCCACTTGTCCCTTAACTTGTAATTATGACACCTATTCCTATGCCCCAAGTGCAAGACCGTGCACTTATCCACCTTGAACTCCATCCTGTTGTCTCCTGCCCACTTCCATAGTCTGTCCAGATCCTTTTGGATCTGAAGTACCTGCTACTTTTCTTGCAAGATGAAAAAGACATAAGAAGTAATGGGAGGACCTGCCTAGGCTTCCAGACTGCTGTCAGTGTTGTTACTTATGGAATCTGTTCAAGCTACAGAGTAGGGAGGTAACAGAATGCATACATAATTCCATCAGCACTTTCCTTTACCCAGTGTGAGACTTTCTTGGAGAGCAGGGAGAACTAGTTCAGGTGTGTACAGAGAACTCATTTCTCATAATGAAAACTTTAATGGAGGAAATGGATATGCATATCATTTTCTTCATCCAAGCAAATATGATATTATCCAGTAGACAAATCTCTCTGGGTGAGTCACAAAAATTAATAACAGGTACACTAATAAATGAATAGATGAACATTTTCAAATTGCCTTCTGTAACCATGGACTTTCATACAATTAAAGCTGAGATGATCAGGTAGAAGATTTTGCACCATAGTTCACATTCTGTCTGAGATGTTGCACATGTAAGTTGCAGAACACAAAGACAATACTGATAACCCCAAAGGCACGCCCTTTAGTGTTATTGAGGGAACAGGGTCTTTTCACCCTGGAGTAGAGGATACTTCAAGGGAATCTGTTGGTACCATATAGGTATGTGAGGGGGTGTCACACAGATGTGAGTAGAGACCTGTTCTCCCCTGCAGAGGAAGGCAGGATGCGCTCCAACAGAGCCAAGCTCAAGGAACCAAGGTTCAGTTTGGATGCCAGGAAGCACTTCCTGACAGTCAGGACCCCAAGGGTGTGGAATGGGCTTCCACGAGAGGTCGTGGAGGCCCCATCGGTGCGGGTGTTCAAGGATAGGCTGGACGTCCACATGGTAGGCATGTCATGAGTGGAGCTGGCTGGAGCTGGGGGTCAGACTAGATGGCCCAGGAGACCCCTTCTGACTTGCTTTGTTTCTGTGTTTCTATGTTACTTCCTTGAAAGGCAGACAGATTTTACGGAGAGATTTTGTCTTGACCTCATTTTTATTTGAAAGGGGTTTATCCATCAAATATTAGCATCTCATTATTAAAATCAATATATTTCAGTTGGGTGTGAGGAATTTATGACTGTATCACTAGGAAGAGTAATGTACTGCATTACTTACTATAACAGCGGAAGTAAAAATGAAATAAAGAGTCCCTGAACATGCCCAGGAGGCAAACACACTGAATACAAATTATGGCTGTGTTAATCATACTATGTTAATTATAAATGTAGCTATTGACAATTGCAACATAAAAAGATGAAAAACATTTAAATCTGTGTGTTACAGGAGAGGCTCATTTTACTGGGTAAAATAAGCTAAACTTTAATCTATGGTTGAAACTAATCCAAGAAGAGCAGTTTAAAATCATACAGACATGGAAAACACTATGGAAATGATTGCACAAAACAAACAAAAATGCTATTGAGGTTTATGGAGATGATTCAGATCTGTGTGCTCCAACACAATTAAAAATATAATGAATCCAGAAAATTACAGTAGCTTTCAAAATATACTTTTTGAAGGAGTGAGTCATGCTTCTCTATATAATTTGTTTTCTGTTTGTGGTTCCTCAAGAGTACAGACTTTTTAAACAATTTGTCACTTTTAAACTCTGGCAACTGTGGTTCCCCCCCCCCCATTCAACTTGTTCCAATGCCTTATCTCATTATTAGGCTTCTGCACCAAGATTAATGTCCTCCTAATGCAGGAACCTTAAGAGTATTTACTTTCATTCACTTTAATGGCTTTTTTTCTTGAGCAGCTATATTTTCCTAGAACTGATATTTTATTCAGCTTCCTAATATTACCTTGATCTGCTGATTCAACTGAGAATAGGTAGTATCTGGTACATAATTCCATTTGTACTAATGACACTGGGCTTCCAGAAACCCACCCCACTCAAGCAGAAACTAGTGGAATAGAGGCAGAGAAACTGATTGTGGAGTTAGAAGTCTGGCTAGTGAGAGCTGATTCTGGAGACTGCCTGCGCCCCAGTGGTGTACCCTTTCCGCAAGTGACGGAGCAAGCATGTTGTACTCATGATGAAAGCACCAATTTTCTGGCCTGGGGCTCCTGTGCCTCATGGGGACTCAGGTAACAGACCTCTGGCTGGCAAGAACTTGAGCAACACAAGTATTTTTCCCACCTCACCCTCCTTTATGCATTTCTCTAGCAAGCACTAGTTTTTACACTTGGCTAGTGCTGCTTCCACTAGCATGTCACTAGTGGCAGTGGAACTGCATCACTGGATACTGTCCTATTATTTCTGTAACAGGAGTATAACTGAAGTGGTTGCAGTTATAGAACTAATGGCTTCAGTGTGCGACTCAGAGACACTCTGATCAATATTGTGTGTACTTCCCCTCTGTAGCCTACTATAATCTCTTGGTCAGCTGAGGAGATCAAGGCCCTTCGGCAGCAGACACAAGGCACAATCTGCTTCTTTGGGAAGGAGGCAATCAGGACATCTGTCAGGACCCTCCTGGCCAGAAGATACAACCCTGCCAGCATCACAGCCTGGCAGAACCTCCATCTCTCCAGCCTCTCAGAAGTCCCAGGCCACAAAATCAAGCACTGGCCTTTTAACAATGCACTCATCTCCGTTAGGAGGGGCTGATCTGATCACAGTGCAGATACCATCAGTCTATGCAGAGCTTCATGAGGTTTTCCCTCTCTGCTAAGACATCCTCCTATTGTCCAAGGAGAGAGTTTCTGTCCCACCTAGATCTCACCATCCATCCATTATAGCGTGTTAGTTGCTTCATTTCTACCTCCCCACCCATTTAGGCAGCCTCAAGTCTGCAGCAAAGACAAAAAATTTATTGAGCCTCAATGGCTCCCCCTACAAGTATTTTCAGCTTTGTCCAGATCTATGAGATTTGGCCTAAACAAGAAGGCAACATCATTGCTGTCAGTGTTTTCGTAGCATCTTTCTCTTCCTTCCTTCCTTCCTTCCTTCCTTCCTTCCTTCCTTCCCCACCATTTTTTTCTTATCAAGGCCCTTGAGGGGAGTTTAAAAAATTCTCCTCCTCCCTTCAATCTTATCCTTATTCAATCATATTCAATCTTGATTCCATTTTATGCAGGAAGGTATGCTAAGCAAGTTCTTGGTCTTCCTTCTGGCTGTTGCTGAGGGGCAATGGGACTGTGGACATTACACACCTTGTTTTTACTGCCACAAATAAATTGGAAGGACCAGCAATCACTGAGCCAGAACTGAAATACTTTAAGTTCCAATCAAGCACAAAATTGGTCTCAGGAAAACATGTGTGTTTTGTTTTAAACTCCTTGGTGATGTTTCCTTTGAGGTGCTTGAAATCAGTTTTGGTAGATACTCACCTGCAAAAACTGATTTGTAGTTATCTGAATAGCTAAATCAAGGATGAAATGCTATTTTGAATGAAAATAAATCTGCAAATTCAGCTACGCAGCTGTGAAGCAACCTGACCAAAAACAGCTACTGTGAAGTTTCCTTCTGATACTAATTTGTCTATGAGAAGTGATGGCTGGAAGAAATGTCAGTCCAACAAATATTACACTGCACCAGTTGTGCATTAAATTATTGGTTTTTACCAATCAAGTAGAAAAGGCTGTACTATTTTTGTGGAACTGTGAAGAGAAATACCAAAAGTCAGGAAACACTTTCAATAGGATCAGCTAAAATGTCAAAAATTTTGAGTAAGCTTTAGAGTTTTCGAGAACTCTCTATCAAAGCTGAGGGACATCTGTACTGGTTGCCATCTCAGCATGGGATTCAGGCTTGAGTCACTTGATTAGGAATCCCTTGGTATCAGTTTACACCTAGAGAAGCTCAGGCAAACAGATACAAAATGTTTTATTCATCCTTTGCAAAAATACAGAACCCCAGCAGCATTTCTTTCTCTTTCCCCCCTTCTCTTTTCTCGTTTAGGAACCTATCTTAACCTATCTGCTTCCTTGAGCAAAACCCCCTTTGTAAGCAAGGAATTCAACCTTGGATCTGCATTTCTTGAGAGGAAGGGCTGGAAAGGTTACTGTGGGAAGGCGTGGAGATGGGTTCCTTCCATTAGCCCAGTTCATCCAGTGTAAATCCTGATCCATCTCATAAAAAAGGTATTGCCCACTTGGCAAAAGTCATCACAAGCTGAAGGTGAAAAAAGGCAAAAACAGAAGGTGGCAAAATTCAGAACTGATGTTCTTTTAAGAAACAGATTTCAGATTATTGGCTCAGTGAATCTTCATTCCAGAGTACAACTGTAGGAAACCAACAAGCAAAAGTGCTGTACTAAGATCATGAAAACAATAGATCATGAACTTAATCCCTGTGAACAGAGAGAAGGTTACTAGTTCTGCAAAGTCCAAGACATTTGTTTACCCTTGATAGCAAAAATATAAACCATATGGTACTATACAGTAGTACCTTGGCTCACAAATGCCTCAGTTCATGACCAAATCGGGTTGTGAACAGACATTTTGGAAAAAAATTGCCTCAGGTTGCGAACTCCGCATTGGGTGATGATCATGATTGCGGCCATGTTCCTGCATGAGCACAATCGCGATTGCAGTCGTGCTGCAGGGGGGAGGGTCGCAGACAGACCTGTAGTCACTTGCTGTGAAGCTTATTGAAAAATGGCTCCAATGGAAGTGAAGAGCAAGCATGGTGGTAAAAAGAACGTGTAGAGCCGTAATGAAAGAGACAAGAATGTGCAGATTTTTTTTTGCCAAAATTGACCCTGAAGCTAAGAGACAAAGAAGAGAGGAAACCCCTGAAGGAGATCTCCCCAATGTCCTTATGGAGGGGGACTCTCCCTCCAAATAACCTCCCCCCTCACCCAGGTTAGTGTTCTCCACTGTACTGTACTTTGTTATTGTTACTTTGTTTAAGATTTTTGTGATTAAAAAAATATTTACAGAATGGATTAACCTTGTTTACATTGAACCTTATGGGGAAATTTGACTTGGATCCTGACCAATTCGGGTCGGGACCAGAGTCGTGGAATGGATTAAGTTTGTGAGCTGAGGTACCACTATACTTATTTAGTGCCTCTTTGTAGGTTTCCTTGCACTCCTGTAACATTCAGGAAGTGGGCAGCAGATGTGAGAAATCTTGGTGGAAAGTTTTGTTGGCATTGCTGGGAGTCTTTGCTTCCCAGTTTCCACATTGTCTGCTGAGGAAGTGTCATCCCAAAAAGTTTCACTTCAAAATTTCATCAGAGGCAAAGCTTGTCAACTACTTAGGATTGTGCTCACTTTCCCATCCATGAAACCCTTCTAGCTGTGGAAACATTGTTGTTTTTTCCCTTGAAATTTTTTTAATGTTTTGCTTGAGCCCTCAAACTCACCTGAAATTTTAGTTTTAGTCAATGCTTAGTGGGAATTCTAGCTATGACTTGTGCTGTCTGCACCACAATTATTTTGCATGACATACTCATTTAGCCAGCTCCTCTAGGCTGTTTGTTTATTTTGACAGTACATCTGCCTATCCTACTATAATTGGGATTTAATTCTGAACATGAGAAGCACAGAGATTCAAAGTACCACTGAAAGCCTAGATAACTGAAAGCCTTACAACTGAACCGATCTCACTATCTTTTATTTTATTATTTATTTTATTTATTAAAACATTTCTATGCCGCCTCATTCGCCGAAGCCTCAGGGCGGCTCACAACATAAAATTAAAATACAAGAAATAACAATATCTAAGCTACTCTTGATTTCATATGGAACAGGGCTCGGTGTTAGTGCTGAAAAATGGTTCTCGTGTTGGAGTCTGGTGAACTGTCAGCTTATATTATACATCATATGCTGATAAATGTAATAAATATGGAGTGTAAGAAAAAAAAACGATTCTGTTCATTCAGTCAACTAGAAAGGAAGAAACCGGGTGTGCCTTCTAAATGAGGTGTGAGTATATTTTATTTGAGGTGTTCTATTATTTTATTGTTTTATCTTTTTTATCAGATTAATGACTGCTGTATTGTAGTTTATGTATGTTTTATGCTCTAGTATTGTAAACTATCCAAGAGAACCTTCGGGTTATGGGGCAACATAGAAATGGAATTAATTAATTAAATAAATGTGAGGGACCACATATATCAGAGGTCCGCAACCATTTTGGGCCTGTGGGCATATTTGGAAATCTGAGGGACGGCTGTGGGCACCACCACTAAATGGCTCCCTCAGTAGAAGTGGCCACTCACATAATGGTTCCTGTCAGAGCCTGGCTAGTCGAAAGAAAGAGGAAAGGAAGAGGAATGTGTTTGTGGGAGAAACAGAGATGCTAGAGGCTTGGGGAGAGGGGACACTGCAAGGCAAAGGGATTGAGGGAAGAAAAGAGCAAGGTTAGGAGCTAAACATAGAGGGAAGGAAGGCATCTTGGACAGATAAGCAAGGATCGGCAAAGTGGGAAGAAAGAGAGTGAGACTGGAGAGTAAGTGGGGTGGGCTGTGGAAAGAAGGTGAAAAGGAACCATCTGTGTGGGTGGAAGAGATGATGAAGGGCCAGAAAGTGACTCTTTCCTTCTCTGCTTGCCTACCAACAGCTGATCTGCAGCAGGTGCAGGAGGGAGGTCTTGGTGCTCTAGCAGCTTTCTAGATTTGTATTAAAAATAAAGTTTTGAAGGGGGCAGGGAGCAGGCAGCTTCATTGGCGCCCTGGAGGACTCTGTAAGCACCATGGCAACCAACAGGCACCAAGTGCAGTGAAAGTAAATGCGAGGGCCCGTTCTCTGGAGAAGATTCCTTTCAAAGTGCAGTCTCTCCATTTTTGAAGGACCTCGCGTTTAAAGAGATGGATGTTCCTTATGTCTCAGACTAAAACAGGAGAAGAGCAGAGGGGGTAGGTGTGGAAAAAACAGAGGCAGGCAGAGAATTCATTGGCAATTATGTCTGCCACCAAGATAAATTGTGCAGCTGCAGGCTCTGTGAAAACAGAAATCAATGATGGCTGACTGATGTGCCATAAAGCAACAGAGAAGGAACATTCAGGGGCTGTCCATGTGCATAGCTGATGGCACTTGGGGAAAAGGCAGAATCACAAAGATGGGGGTTTTAAACATGGGAGAGAAAGGGACAGGCTGCAGTTAAGCCAGCAGGGAATCTGTCTCTAAGAATGCTAAATTATTTACTATAAAAGCACTTTTCCCAATTCCACAGCACACTGAGTATCCCAGATTATTAGCTTGAAGACTTCCAACTGAAGTGGAGGCAAACTGTGGGTCGCCTCAAGGGAACGCAATAATTTCAACCCTAAAACAAACAGCTGGAAGGGGCTGTCCTTCAGTGGGAGAAGTTATGGATGTGGAGACCTGGTTTGGATTTTCCAATATCACCTTTCCTCACCTCATCCCACTCTTTGGCTTGTAAGAGCTAACATCTTTGTTTGACAAGTCAGTCAGAACACCAGGACTTCAACTAGAGAGTCTTCTGCAAGGGCAGACAAGTTAAAGTAGGCAAACCACTCAGTAGCTAAGCACATGCATGTTCAGCACAAGGACTGAGGGCCACGCCTGGCTCCCACTCACACGATCTGTGACAGTCTTTCTGGTCCATTCACGCTTTGTCACTCTCTTTGCAGTACCTGCTTACTCCCACCAGGGGCACGCTTGCTTTGCCTTCTTACTGGAGTTGGCGATTGGCTGGCTGCTGCCATCTATGCCACTGAGTTGGGGAAGGAGGAAACCTGCTGCTCCTCAGCCTTAAGGGGGCTGGTGGGCAGGGCGAAGGAGAAAGCAGCCAGTGAGGAAGAGGTGGCAGTGGCGGCCAAGGAGTGATGTGCCCCAGGAGGAGCTAGATGAAGTGGTACATGGCGCAAGCATGAGTGGTAGGTAGGGGGAGTGAAGGTGCATGTGAGAGAGTGAGCAATGTGGCTCTGTCCTGGGAGATTTTGCAGCCCAGTGTGGAGCTGGGTGGACAAAGAGCCTCACCACTATCCAAGGCTTGCCTGATGACTTGGAGACTGTGAAGCACCCCAAAAGCCTCTGAGTATAGCAGGACACAGCACCACAGGTTCACTATGAGATCAAGAGGAGAGGGGCCCATGGCTGAGGAAAGCCCGAGTGGCCAAAGTGGTGGTGCCCGGAGTCCTGATTGTGAAGTAGTGCAGACCTCTGCGCCATGGTAAATTAAGCATCCCTGAGAAAAAGAGAGCTCGGAATTTGACATTTCCCACCTCCGTATCCAAACTAATGAGAACTAGTGCTTATAATATCTCATGCTAACAGTTCTCAATCACTTAGTTGCTTTTACAATGCTAAATAAAGCTTCTTAATGAAGCTTTGTCACTAAGTACTATGAATTCTGCGACCTAATATTACTCTATTAAGTCATCTTTAGGCCCTTTGTTGTTGTGTTTCACCACTTGGTAGGTGATGTCCAATTCACACCTTCCTTCAAAGCAAGTCCCTTTTCTGATTGTGAGGTTGACTGAAGAGGGATCTAGCCCCTACTTCTTGCCCTTTTGCATCCCAGCTCTGTTGCAGTTCCTGTTCTGTAAATGTGCATTTGTGTTTGTACTTTTCCACGAGCTGCCAAAATATCCCTTCCTTGTTCAGGGGATGTTTGGCCAGCTGTAATTCTGCCAGTGAAGTTATGCCAGCAATGAGATATTAAATGTTCTCATTCCCATCACTGCAGGGTAGAATTCCGTGCTCTTTTGTGACTTGGATTTTGTAAAACTGAAACTGCGGTTGCTTCCTGGGAGCCCTTCTTCATCCTGTAAACAAAGCAGGAGAGGCTTCATTGCCCTTACCCGCCCAAGTTCTTTGTCTTCTAATGCCAGCACACCAGTGCTCTCTGTAAACAGCTTCACCTTCACTGCTGGAAGGGCATGCGTTGTGGTGAAGTCACCCTGAGTCCCCCAGCTGTGAAAACATCCACAAGAAAAGCATTAGAAAAGAAGCAAAGGCTCTGCTAGCACAGCACTTTCACCTTGGGGTGGAAAAGGTTAATGCAAATGTCACCAACTGTCATAGGCATTAAAAAAAAAAAAAGCAGCAGGCGTGACATTGTGTTAATTAATTAACTTGGTAAGAAAACCCATACGACAACAAATCAGCAATTCCACAAAGCTTTATTTAAGAAGGCAACAGACTATCATGAAGTCAAAGCAGGAAAAGCACACCCCTTTCCTTTGGTTTATTTTACAAGTCAATAAAATCAAGAGTTATGAAAACATTTTTGTATTCAAAGTTTTCATATAGGTTGCAGAACTGGCCATCTGGATAGCTAGCTCTCCCTTATTACTGCAGCATCTGAGTAGTTAAAAGCAACCAGTAGGATTCCAGAAGCATACGGTGTCTACAAATTTGTCCACATTCTGATGCAAAGGAATCAAATCTTCTGGATTTGCAATAAAAGCACACTGTGGAGAATGATGCAGAGATACTGATTTTTGTAATGTATAAAATTTATAGAGCCCTTAATACAGGTTCAGATTGTGTTTGTATGTAGCGCAGACTATTTCAGCACTGCATGTGAAAGGATGTGAGAAAGGGTAATTGGGGTAGAGGAGAGCTTTTGGGTTGTGCTGTTTCACAAACCCTATTGAAATACACTGAATCGTGGCATGTTATGTGTGGGTGGGATAGATAATAAGATAACGAAGTATGACCAGGAAAACATGAGGAAAGCTAAACAGGAACCTGAGAAAATTAGAATGAAGGACCCTGATGAAGGACAAGAGCTTGTACAAGATGTTCTCTGCAGATATTATAACCCTGTTATTCTGTGAAAACAGGAACTGCTGAGAGTTTTGCATGCAGAACAATAAAATGGATAAATCATAAATAAATAGAACACTCTGAACACCACAGAGCACTTGAGAGGCTTTCTCACCACTCTCTCTAGCGGATTGCAAAAGAAGTTCTCTCATTTGTCTCACTTCTAACTTAACAATCATCAAATACAGAGAAGTGAGTATTTTAATTATACATTAAAAGAATGCATAATAAAGACAGGAAGACAAGAAGAAATATGACCCTTGAAAAACATTTGTTTTAAATGTGAAATATATTGCACTACATTCTAATAGATTATAATTAGTGGAAAAGCATGTGGAATGTGGATATTTGAATGCTTTACATTGTCTCAGATAAGTTCAGGATTAATTCAAAGCAATGTGACACACGCAATCCATCCCTACCATGTATGCAATTGCTCAGGAGTAGCCTAAGCCCTGGGTTGGAGCAGGACTACTGAATCTACATATTGGGCCTGATCCAGCACTAGTGGCAAAGATGTTGCACTTGCACTAACCAATCCTTATATGGTGCAACTAGAGCTTGCTGGAGCACTGGGGAAAAGTGGCGATTTGTTGCTGAATTTTGGCAGCTTTCTCCATTGCCCTAGCCAGCATAATACGCAAGTACAAGAATATTAGTGCTGGTGTTATGGCACAGTTGGATCCTACCAGTTGGATATGCAGAAGGTTTCAGCCTTGGAAATAATGGCTGGTCAGATTACAACATGCCTGGACAGGATCTGATGGATTTGGAAGACAAAGAGAAAGTAAGTGGCTCTGTTGTGTCCAGATATTGCTCTCTAGATGACCTCCCGATGTTTCCTCCAGATGTTCAGGACAACAACGGTCAATATTCTTGATGATTAGCCATGCTAATGGAGCTAATGGGAATGGAAATCCATCTCCCGCTACATGTTCAGACTAACATGTAAAGGGACATGTAATATTATACATGATTAAAGCCTTACTTAATATGGACATATTAAGATACCATATGCTGAAACAGATCCCTAGAGTTCCAAGGTCACAGCAGAGGTCTTTCCTCGCAGTTACCATCTGGGGTCATTTAACTGGAGGTGTCAGAGATCCAACCTGGCACCATAAACCTGCAAAGCAATGCTCTGCCACTGAGCTTTCATTCCTCTCAAGTTTCCAACATACTGCTTTTTGAAGGAAAACTATCTGGGTTGCTGCTAGCACAATGTTGATCCTGATATTCACAATGCAAAATTTCTTGCAGAACTGGATAGAAAATGATCTATCATTTTGGATAATTTTATAGTACTTCTCAGAGGACTAAGTTCTTCACCATTTTAAATATATGTAATATCCTCAAAGAGGATGATGAATCAGTCTACTGAGGCCTTTTTATCACTGACTGGGGTCTGAATGTGTGTTTCTGATACCCAAATCCAAAGCGTGACTCTAAAATTATGGTAACTGTTTGCAATGAGGAGCCTTCCTGATAGCTACATTTCTAGCTGAACAGGAAGAGAGAATTCCCTTCCTCTCCTGCGTTCCTCATACCTTGGACATAGTTCAGACGGAGGCTGGGTCTGCCACTTCATGCCAGGCAGCAGACCCTTGTCTTCCCTGGAGGAGCAAAGAAACTGATTCTAAGATCCAAATGACAAGTTACATTAAAGATCCATCTCGCAGCCATAGCCTTTTCTTTTCACCCTAAAATAAATGCAGGGGGGCTGATCCAGATGAGTCCCTAGCATATCGGGGGAGGTGGATTTAATTCCTCTATCTCCTATTCTAGTCCTGATCTAGCTCACCATCTCCACACACACACACACAGAGCTGCAAGTTTCATTTCCCTAAAGCAATTCATTTAAAAATGGCTGTTTTTCTACAATGAACTTGTACCTCAGCAACATACTGAGAAGCAAACAGTCAAAACCATCTACAGCTCCGGCTAATCCTTATTTGCCCCCAAGTACATTTACTTTACAGTAAGACAGACATGGTTACCTAATACATTTTCAGAGCAATGTGTCACCTGGTCCAAAAGCATGTGCTTCCCCTTCATGCTTAAATCAACAGGACTTAAATCTGCTTACCTTTGGGTGGACTGTGGCTGATACTTTAACCTTACTTCATTTTATAAAATTCCCACTCCACCTTTTAATCCTGAATGGGTTTTCAAGATGGCTCCCAGAAACAAACACAAAAATATAATACCAACAAAAATATAGTTTGTAATACCGATTTGTAAAAAATGTATGAAAACAGACAACTCAAACTTTGCAGACAGGTACCCTAGGATTAGAAATAAACTTATGCAATCTCATAGATGGTGCTGGTTTACAAGCAACAAACAGTTGGGTCAATTCACAAGAGGATTCCTCAAGCAGGACAGTACGGTTCTGATGTTGATTGAGTGCTATAGGGCTGGGACAATTGAGGAAACTTTACTTGTCTGAAAGACCCAGGAAAAGTGTTCCAGCGAGGAGAATAAGCAGAAAGCAAGTACAATTTGTGACACAGCTCAACATCACTGGTGCTTTAACTCAGGTCTTAAACCAGCAGGTTTTCTTGATTGTTGAATATAGGTGCAATTGAGTTTAACAATTCATAGCAGCCTTTCTCTCTCTAGCTCTGGAGAGAACACAGGGAACTTTTCATTATGGCTGAAATGGATTTTCAATAATCTTCACAGCTCATTTAATTTTGTTTCTTGAACTTTCAAGCTGTGCTACCATTTTTTTTAAACAAATGGTGCATTGGTTCTTAAAAAGGTAGTGAATTCTCTCTTCTCCCCTTCTCCCCTTAATGAAATACATAAAGCTCAATAAATCCAAAGGAAATAGCAACAATATTCCTCTTTTGTACAAAGAGAACAGCACGATTAAAGTACAAGGAACATTGTCAACCCATTCTGCATGGCGACTACTGTATTCCCCATACCTCCAGTGTATTGTAGGGGAAAAAAAGATGCTCTAATGCATGACTACTTGTGCTAGTGGTATTAATTAGCTGGCCAGTTACAAGACCTGATCAATAAGGATCTGACCAACTCCTCAAATGTCTTGCAAGGAGAAAGTGGGAATGAGAATCCTATATGCAGCCAGGTAGTTCCAGATTAGTGCTGTTCCATATTTGATAACCTACTTTATTGAATTTTCCCATGTATTATTTTTCTGCTCCTTTCATAGGGAGAGGGATAATTTCCCTCACTGGGGAAAAGGGAAGGAATGATTCTGTATGTCTTTTTTTGGGTGGGAAGTCAATAAAGGATCTTATATTTCTCTTTTAAATTTAAAATTGCTAGCAAGAACAGGTTCTGGTCCTGAAGTCCTGAAAGCCCTGTTCTTGCTTGCAGCAACATGGGTCTCTTAGCCAAGAGACTTTTCTGAGTTAGCAACTCTTCCTGAGGACCTGTGAAAGTAAACAATGCCAGGTGGACTCAGGAGACTTTAGCAAGCTCTGACAGGTTAAAACCTTTGTGGAAAGGACCTTGCAGTACTGCAGCAATGGGTGGGACATTTGCAGATTCAAAGAAAAGTGAAAGATCACCGCTTAGTCAATGCTTTGAAAAAATTTAGCAGGCTACAATGCTACTTTGAATTTTGAGAAAACGTCACACATCTGAGAAATGGATTCAGATTATGTTGCTTATTAGCAGGGAAGACCTCCCTCTGCATAGTGGAAGGTGCATCTGGTAACTGTTCCACAAGTTTCTCATTCTTCCAGTCTTAACATTAGCTTCTTCAGAACTTTTGGACTTCATTCAAATTATTTGGACTTCTTGGATTTTTTTCATTTTATTTATTTTTGGACTTACTGTCCACTCTGTCAGCCCAAAGGCTCCCTGTAAAAGTTGACAGGAAAATTCATAAGCATTTTATGAATTTGGTATACAATTTTCTAAACACACACATTTTTACAAGTGATTTTTGCAGATACAATGCATTTTTGAAAATTATTTTCCTTTAATATATTTTTGTTATTATTAAGTTTGTTTCCTATTATTACAGAGCCCTTGGGATAATACAGCAGAATATAAATTTGATAAATAAATATAAATGTATTTATTATTAAATCTAACAACAACAACAATATAAATGTGTATAAATATTATAATATTATGTTGATGATGTTGTTACATTATTAGTA